CTTGTCTCGCCGCGCTCACCGCCGCGACCGGCCCCTGGCCACCCTATCAGTATCGGGCCGGTGGCCCCCAGCCGTAAGTCTGTTTGCTTAGCGCCGCCTTCCTCACCAGCGCTCGTTGTTTTGCGCTCATCTGTCGCAGAACGCTGCGTCCTAGTTGTGTGGTGGTTAGCGTGACGGATCCGTTTGTGTGCCGTTAGGACTATCGCCAGGGTGTCCCGGTTCGATCCCAGGTGGCGCCGGACCTTTGCGCTGCGTTAGGCAATGTATCTTCAGCACAGGGGGCTGCGCGCCTGCGCATCGCGCCTTTGTTGCCACCTACGCTGCCACGTCACGAGCCGTCACGCTGCTGCCGGTCATGCCCGTTACACGGTCACCGCGTCTGTCATATGCTGCTGTCAAGCCACCACCACCGGCCGATCTGTCAGGTTCATCGCACGAGCTGCCTATCCGTCACATACCGCTACCACGCCGATGCCGTCACGCCGCTGCCGACAACCTGGCACTGTCACGCCGCTGCGGACAATCATCTATCATCCCCGCCGCACAGGCTGTCCGCCTGTCACGAACCACTGCCACGCCGCCGCTGACACTTCTGTCATGTCTAACGCACTGAGTGTCCGTCCGCCATATATGTAGGTACTGCTATCACGCTGCTTCCGACCGTTCACGATCATGTCTAGCCCAAGCGCCCGGACCGACACGTCTCCCACATACCGCCGCCATGCTGACACTCCAGTTCTACCCATCCCGGCCGCCGCCCGGACCACCCCGTACGTCTTAACCGCTGCCGCGCCGCCGCGCCGCCAACGGCACCGGGCACACCTACCACGGCAATCGCCAGGCCCACCCCCTCTGTCACATACCACCATCCCGCCGTTACGACAAGCACTCCTATCATCTACCCAGCCACCCCGGCTGTCATGCCGCCGCCGACAGACCCTTCGTCATGCCAGCGCTCTAGCCGCAGGCCTGTCACACGTCAACGTCACTCCGCCGCTGACAGAGCAACGGTCATGTCCGACGCCGACAGCGGCCCGTGTACCACGCCGTCCCCCACCCGCCGCCTAGACCGCCCGCCGACAGCACTCGTTCTGCCGCGCCCGCCGCCGCGGCCGGCCTGATAACCCTCTAGTCTCGGGCCGTTGCTCGTAGGCGCCTGTTTGCTCAGCGCCCCCCCCCCCCCCACCTACCGCGTTCGCTCGCCGCGGACAAGCGCAGCCTCGTGTTGTGTTGGTTAGAGTGCGGGAAACCGCCGGTGTGACAATTCGGGCCAAATCGCCCGGTGACCAGCTTGATTCCAGGAATCGGCGGACTTGTACGCATCGTTGTGAGATATCCGTCCCTACCAGGAATAATTTTGTCTACCTGAATGTTAGGAGACAATAAAGACAAACAAGACCCCTCCCGACACATGATTGTGAGACAGTCACAAGCTACCTAGGTGGCGCATCCTATCCACCATTGCACATCTGTTGCATCTGTATTTCAGTTATATTCTATTATCATTTACATTAACAGCGCTTCTCGCCGGATCACTTCAAAGACGACGGTTCTCACTTGACTTTGCCCCATAACTGTGCCAAACTGACTAGGCGTCCCTCCCATCTCACGTCAGTCCAACAACTCCACTTACACTGTCGATTGTCGTACACGCCTCAACAATGTCCCACCGCTGCTGTCATGCCTCTCCGGACAACCCGTGCCGTGCCCGACACGGGCGTCTTACCCGTTGCCTATACTACTGTCATGTCCTGCCGACAGCCCTCAGCCCTGAGCCCAGCGCAGCGGTATACGCACGCCGCGGCTAACAGCCGCACCGTACCGTTTCGCAATTACCGTACGACCGTCACGTATGTACTGACACCATGCCCTGCGCTGTCACTGACCGGCTCACCGCACATAGTCCTATAGCGACAGCCGCCATGCCGCCGCTAGAAAACGCACCGACTCACGCCGCCTTGCCATCTAACACATCAGTCGTGCCGCCGCTGACCGCACCGCCCCGCCCGTTCGCCATGTCGTTCCCACCGCCACCTAACCCGCTGTCGGAGGCCGCGCCGTCCCTCGGGCTCGGACTGCGGCCAGCCACCGCCGGCGATCGCCAACCGCGCGCTTGTTTGCTAGGCGCCCACTCTCCTCCCTGCCCGCACTCGTATGGGCGACGCCGTTATCCGCCGGCCTCCCACCCGCTCTTGGCAGCCCTCGCGGCTCAGTGGTTTGCCCGGGCGGCATGTGCGCCGTGTGTCTCTGGGATCCCAGTGACCAGGCTCAGTCCCAGAGAGCTATGGATGTTTGTACAGCGATACCGGGCGCGAAATCCAGCGCTGCGCCCCTGCTACGCCCCGTTTCCACTCACTTTCTACCCAGCGTGGCCGGTTGGTGACGCATTAAACGTTGCTAATGCTATCCCGTGACCTCACAGCGGCCGTCACCGAGCTCGTTTATTCCACCCCAAAAGTCCCGGGGTACTTATGATCCCCCCGCGCCCGCTTGGCATACCTCATGCCGCCCCTTGCCGGCATCGTGCCCATACATTTGGGCAAATTTTGGCGTCTTTCAGCTAGGGAGAGCTGGAACACACGCAATAGGAGCTGGCGGAGGTCGAGGCCGCACTACGCCAAATCCTCCCGGATACCGAGGTAAGAGACGGGTAGGTCCGGCCCCTCAGTTCAGGCTCATCACACCACGCAGGCACCGGCGACGCCAACGTTAATGGTCTTTTCACGTCAGTTCCGTGCAAAATACATTAACGCTTGGCGTTAGAGGTGCAACCGGCCCCCCGTTTCCTGGAGGTGCCCGGCATATGAGGGAGCCGGCCACAGAGGGTGCGGGCGCCAATTGGAGGCTAGATAAGCGCCAGCGGTCGGGTAAGCAAACACAGTCCGCCCGGCCTGGCGAGGACACTGCGCCGGCCGCCGGGCGCCTCCAGTGCGTGAGTGGCACGTCAGACGGCGGCCGCTCATGTTTTTCGTTTTTTTTTTCTTTCTTATTTTTCCTTTGTCTCCTTCCGTCAACTCCGGCGTCTTTCAGCTAGGGAGAGCTGGAACACACGCAATAGGAGCTGGCGGAGGTCGAGGCCGCACTACGCCAAATCCTCCCGGATACCGAGGTAAGAGACGGGTAGGTCCGGCCCCTCAGTTCAGGCTCATCACACCACGCAGGCACCGGCGACGCCAACGTTAATGGTTGTTTGTTGTGGGGTTTACGAGTTGTCGTGCCTACTCAGCTGAGAAGTCGCGTCCTGGCTCTGTTGCACAGTGGCCATCCTGGAATGACGGCGATGAAGCAGCTCGCCCGGAGCGTCGTCTGGTGGCCGGGCCTGGACGGCCAGATTGAGGACCGAGTAAGGGCGTGTCAGGCGTGTCAGGCGGACAAAGGTAAGGTACCAGTGGTACCTTTGAAACCCTGGATATTCCCCACCGAGCCGTGGAGCAGAATTCATGTTGATTTTGCCGGCCCCGTGGAGGGGAAGATGCTTTTAATAGTTGTGGATTCGTTCACCAAATGGCTTGAAGTGTTTGTTACGAGCTCAACAAGTTCAACATGTGTGATTGAAAACCTTCGCAAGTGTTTTTCTGTTTTTGGATTGCCGTTAGTCATTGTGTCAGACAACGGCACCTGCTTTACGAGTGAACAGTTTAAGTTGTTCTTGTCTGAGAATGGTATCCGGCACGTTTGTAGCCCGCCGCGTCATCCCGCCTCCAATGGCCAGGCTGAGGCTTTGGTGAAAGTCGTAAAATCGGCGTTGAAGAGGAGGACTGAAGGAAGTCTCCAGACAAAACTGTCGCGTTTTCTTTTCACCTACAGGAATTCGCCACAGTCGACAACGGGGCGAGCTCCGGCTGAGCTGATGTTCGGCCGAGCGCTGCGTACTCCACTGCAGTCGCTGCGCCCGAGTCTGCGCTCCACCGTGGAGGCCCGTCAGTCTGCCATGAAGGACGTCCACGACCGCCGCGCCCGACCGCGCGATTTCCGCGTCGGGGACGCCGTCTGGGTTGAAGAGTGTCAGGGCTTCGCCCGCCGATGGGTCCCCGCGGTGGTCTCGAACAGCAGTGGTGTAATGGTGGACGTTCGCCTCGAGGACGGCCGCGCCTTCACCCGTCATGCTGACCAAATTCGTCCGGCCCATGTCGTCGCGGGTCACCCCTAGACCGCTGCAGTGGTGCCCCCTACCGAGTTACGGTGCTGAATCGTGGCGTGGGTATACTTCTTGCCTGTGGGGAGGAGTGTTGCGTACTGCGCTATTGATTTAGTGTTGTATACTGCGCTGTTGATTTAGTGGCCGATTTCACTGGTCGGGTTTTACACGTCAGCGGAGTCGATGCCGGAAGGTTTGTTCGTGTGCGCGCCATTCGTGTCTGGGCTGGCGACTGGGTGGAGTTCGTGGCGGTGTTCCAATACATGAAGACTACGAGGCACAGTTGAGTGTTCTGCGGACAAGGACGGAACAGAAGGTCACAGGTCAAAGATCATGAAGGTCAGGGTCATGAAATTTTCAGCTTAGCTGTAAAAGTAGTTATCGCGAGGGTACTGAAAGTTTCATTGCGATCGGCCGCTTTTTACGTGAATTACTCGCGAAAAACCAAGGGTTCCGTTCGAAGATTCAGGCCCTGTCGCGCTAGAATGGCATATCGGCCCACTGTGCGCTGGGTCACGAACATACTCGTATTCAGGAGCTGCTGTCATCGGCTCACGGATATACGGTTACCATGGAGCCAGCCAATGGAAATACGGTGTATACGAACGCGGAATATATGCAGCTTCTTAGAGCTACAACTGACATGATCTTTATTGACTGGAATCTCGAAGATACGGTCTCTATCTAAACTTCACCAGCCTCGAGCCGATTGGTGCCCTGAATCGTATTTAACGTCAGCAAAATTCCCACCCCACCTGTATCGATGGAGAAACAACAATTGCGACATTCTAAAAACAGAGCCAGGACATGACTTTTGACAGGAGATTTAACGTTTTAAGTCAATTCTATACGAAGCCCTTACCTTAGTTCTGTTCAACGGGTTACTGAAGTCCCAGTCCGGTGCCACGAACAGAAACCCGCACCGCTGGACCTTTCGGGACGCCTGTGAACAAAAGAGGTTAAGGTCATTCACAGTTCTGACAGGTAGGTCACTCAAAACAGGTTTCCACGCAACGGCGGAGGTGGGAAGAAGCGAGAAGGCCAGACAATGAGCAGTCGTGACGGCATGTAAACGCTGACTTCCCGTGTTTTGGGACCGGAAAACTTAACCCTCGCCCCGTTGGGCTCTGCCGAGCAACGCGCCCGGTTGGGGGGGGGGCCATTTTGGCCCCCCCCTAAGATCTCGAGAACCACGCAACATAGCGACAAGCGGTAAACGGCGTTGGATAGCCCCAACGGGGAACTACCTTGTGACCCAATTTTATTGACCTAGGTCAAACCGATGACGTCACAGGTCAGGTCAAAGGTCCAATTTTCACCGTTTACAGGCACTTCAAGAAATGCGTTGTAAAATCGAGTAAAATGCATTTCATTGAAAATCATCGATGGGGAAATGTTCTTCAAACACATACTTTGCTAGTTGAGGTCACTGATACCAGGTCAGGTCACAGAGGTCAGGTCACGAGGGGTCACAATATGAAAGTGTCGTGTGATACATGTTTTATGGTCCATTTTACATGACAAATGCGATTATATGGGTCAGGCAGCCTTTGGGGCCAGCTTAGATCACGTTTTGGTCAAGGTCAGGTCAAGGTCAGGTCAAGGTCAGGTCAAATTAGGTCAAATTTCAAAGTTAATATTTTTGCATAAAATGGGTATCGAATCGATGCAGCTCGTCACGGGGAGTTCAATGGTGGTCTTTGTTTTGCCGTACGTGGTCTAGAATTGCTAAAAATTGAGTTCAAAAATTTGACGTCATCATTTTTGAACAGTTTTTTCGCTATAACTTGGCCAAAAAACGAGATATCGATCTGAAATTTGGTATGTATATAGAAGAGCGCTGGGACTATCACATATATTCCGGTTTTTTCGAAATTCGGAAAAATTTTGGATTTTTTCAAAGTTTTTCTAAAAAAATCAATTTTTTGAATTTTTTTTGGTCAAAAACCAAAAATTTTGAAAATCCGAGATAGCAGTTTTGTAGCGCCGCTTTTTGTCTACTAGACCATATAAAGAACTTTGAAATTGCTTGATAACTGTAGATTTGGTGAGCGTTTCAAGATTGCATGTTTTTTGCTCATTTTTGCTCGAACATGACCTCAGTTTGACCTCAATAACTCCTGACCTAAGGTGACCTAAGACTTGAAATTTGGTGTGAAGGTGTCAAATTGATGCCCGGGAAGGTACTGAAAATTTGGCGGCGCTGCGCGCCGCCGTTTTCTTGCTATTCAGGAAAAACCACAGGGGGGGGGGCCAAAATGGCCCCCCCCAACGGGGCGAGGGTTAACAAGGCAGTCTGTTGCGAGCACTGTACGCGTCGAATAACAAGCGTACGAACCATCGCGTTGTGACCATGGCGTAATAAACTGAAGGTAGATGATCATTGCATCAAACCAGCGACCGTCTAGCAACTATCAGTCGCACAGACTTTAATCGTCACCGCATCACCGTAGTTTTTCATGGACATCTTATATTCATGAAAAGAACATTGAAACATATAATGTTAATAAGATCATCGGATATTATATAAGTGTGGATTCATGGGATCATGGGATCACTACCCCCACGGCAAGACGGATCACGGAAGTCACCTGCTGTGAGCCACCGTATACATGTAATCCGAGCCTCACCTACCGCCATGCCAGCCCAGCCCGTCCAGCCCGGCCCTGTCCAGCCTGGTCCAGCCTGGTCTAACTGCGTCACCCGAGCCTCCAGATGGCCAGACAACAGGCTAAACTGGCACAGAGGCCGTCCGGGAAGACGGCAGGTGACTGGCCGACAAACTGTGTCAGGTGGATAGTGTAGGACGGCGCAGGCTGGTAGCACTGGCTATACACACTAAACAGTAGCAATGCAGTACTATAGACCTCGTGATGGAACGAGCTGGCTAATTTCATACATATCGAGCACCTCGACCCATGGAAGAAGAATACGATCAAGACCAACATTATACAAATACGCAGGTTGAGAGTATGAGAGCTGAATGAGGGTCAGTGAAGCTTTAGTGATAGTTCGATAAAAGCTTCAAAGGCATGATTTTGAGGCATTGTCTCGAATGATCATATTTTGAAAAGGTAAAAACCGAGCTATATAATCTTTCCGGGAACAATTGGCATTGATTTATCTAATTATTTTCGTCCGCTTCGGTGCTACCTGATACGGAATACGCGATTAACTTTGCAAATAAAGAATGAATAAAATACAGAAAAGCAATAAACCTGCATTAATTGCCTATGATTCATTGACTGACTATTGTGTTTTCATCTATGATTAAATTATTTTGACGGCGTCACATGACTCAAAATTGTGTTATCTTGAGTTCATCATCGTTCTAACTACCAAAGACCCCGGCTAGACTGTCAATTTTCCTCTTCCTGAACTGCCCAAGCATCCCCTGGTCATTGACCGTCTGGGACCATTCGATCAGGAAGGACCGGGCTCAGTGGAGGGTAATCGGTAGCGATCAGAATCAAGAACCGTGACTGTTGGCCATGACGAATGACGATAGCGTTACCACGCCGCGCGGGTCAATAGAGAAGGGGGAAGGGGGAGTGGTGGTTGGTGTCACTGAGCTGTGATCAATCAACTGATAAGTGCATCAATGACTGGGGCCACATAAAAATCAGTGAAAAGTATCGAATGCAAGAGATAAAATATCAGGAGTTGGCCTCTTTGTCCGTCATTAAATATTGGGAATCAGTCATGCTGACCGGTGATCGGTTACTTCCTCATTAAATGGTATCAGTGATCAGTTATCACAAATTGATATCAGAGTTAATTGACTACTTGTCCATTGCCGACTATCCACTGTCCAAGTGGTCAAGAGTTGGTGTCAGTAACCGGTGCTGGTGATCAGGGAAAAAATCCGTAGACCGATGGTAACCCGTAGATGATTTTGAAGAACTTCAAAGCCGGCCAATGACATCAGCGTGCGTCAGCTGCCGTCACATCAGTTGATATGTGGTAACATCAGTTAATATGATTTACTATGACGTGAAATCAGCTGACCCTACAGCAAAGTGCGCCACTTTCAAACTCCAACGCAAAAACGACCAAGAACACCCATACGCTGACTGTTTTGACCTGTCACAGACATTCTTTCACACCACACGTCACAAACAGTCACGAAAACAACTCCTTCGCAAAGTCCACGTCCATCCTTTGGCCGTCTATCAAGTCCTACCCAAATCCTCTTATGTCCGGTCACAGCAAATCCAAGCCAACACCAACCTACCGGCCTCGCCGGGGCTCAGAAAACATCATCAACCCAGGCGACACCGTTTGTAAGGGCGAGTTTTACACTAAACCCGCACGGCCGAACGCCTTTACGGCAGGTGCGGTCAACGACCGGAACGCCAAGCCTGCGCGCGAGCGATACGCTGAGAAAAATCCGGTAACGGCTTCTCCGGGTACAGCCGTACGGCAGCACGGAAGGAACGGCTCTACCGCGCTGGTGCCGTGTTGGAGTAGTGCTGGATTGGAATGATGTCACGGATGATTCCTGCAGTACAGGGTTATGCTATGAGGTGCTAATGTTATGTCCTGGTGCTAGTGGAGATGGACCTAGTGGTGCTATGTTGAAGAAGTGTTATGTAATATGCTGGCTCGGACGCGCATGTGCTAAATCCTTTGTCCGGCTGTCGCTGCCGAGCCGATGCATTTTATTTACTGATTTATTTTTTTTCATTTACTTTTTTGATTGCCAGACTGCTGCCACTTTTTACAGTGCTACGCTAGACTGATGCCGTGCGGCCATATAAAAATCAACCGGACTGTATCTTTCAAACACCTTGACCTTCCCAATCGTTTATCTACCTGTCTGACCGATCACTTGCTCTGTACCAACACGATTTGACCGAAATTAGCGCAACCCAACCCAAAGTGCATCTACCCCACAATAAGCCCAGCCCGCGTGGTGAGTTTCAAAGTCCGTCTGACCCGTTTTGCCCACACAACTCGTTTGTCGAGTCATCGCGGGCCGTTGCTCTGGGTCGGCGACTCGGCACAGTGGTGCACGGTCGGAAAGGCCACGGACGGCGACGACCGATGGTGGGCAGTCGTTCCCAGTTTAGAGCTCAGTAGCCGGTTGGGCAGCAAGTATTTGGTACACATATGCCAAACAAATGCTGTTTTTTTTAGCATTTTAAACCAATATTTATATTCATGATACATGGACAACACAAAGTTAATACAAAAATCATAAAACAATACTTCTATTGGTTTCACGGATCCTTATTATTGAATAAACTTATTGGAATTTCGCATTGGACAAATTTTCGCTTTTATTGACTGGTTTGGTATTTTGTATTTTGTCAATGATAGCTGCTTCTGGTTTGCATTTGTTTTGGTTTGCTTTCCAAATATTCAGAAATTAACATCACTAATTCCCTATTTCCCACCCCTCCCCAGCACACTGACCACGGGGAGGGGTGTGGGAGTCTGATCCCACGCCAATCGTCCAGTCGGAACGATGCGGCGCGGCGGCTTGCTCCATGGCTGGTGAACACAGCAGAATCCTGAGCTTGATAACTTGTGAGGTTCGCTGGCTTTGAGATCTTCGACTACTTACAAAAAAAGAATGAAAAAAGTAGAACGGAACGAATACCTACCTATTCATATTTATTTTCCATCTCCTTTGCCACTCCTCCAAATGTGTGAATGTTCGGCGCTTAACGCTATAACTCTAACAAAATGCTGACCTGCAAAAGCTACATGTCATCCAACGTTGGCAGCTAAATTCTAGCTACATTGTAATGCATACGGCATACCGATGAGAATTAGGGCACATGAGACGTGATCGCAGCCATACATATACCACCACCATACATTTCAGGCACATACATCCATGGCTATCCCAGCCCGGCATCTGTGCATGCCAACCAGCCCCAGGCCGCCGGGCCGTCGCTCAGAAGAGCACGTTGTGACCCGCTAAGGTTTATAACA